GGAAAAATTACCGAAATTTAAAAAAAAAAACAGTTTCCCCTATATTAAATGATAAAACATTTATTATTACCCAATTTTTTGGTAAAATATAAAAGATGGGGTCACGTCGGGTAAAAAGACACTAAACATGTCAAGCCTTAAAATTGCGTGCGCGCGCGAAACCTCAAAAAACGATAATACCCAAAATTGGCCATAGGCGACGCTTTAAAAGCTGTTACCGCTCATCAGTTTAGTGTTATCAGTGATTGATGGCCCTAAAATGATTGCTCTCACTGCGACGTTCGCGGCGATATGTAACATGTGTAGCGCAATTGTAATTTTTGCGCGCTGGGGCACCGGACGCGTATTTACGTTTATAGGCGCGTAAACGTGGGGGTGGGGGAGTTAAACATTTTGGGGGGGTTTTTTCCCCTTTTTTTATATGTGACTTTTATTTTATTTTACTTTTTTATGTGTTACTTTTATTTTTTTTTATTTATATTTATTTTTTTGCACTTAATGTTATTGCTATTATATAGGGGGATAACAATCCCCCTATATAATAGCAAAGGCACACTGACAGGTCCTCTTTATGGAGACATTAGGGGTCTCTAGGAACGAGCACATATAGGCGATCGGCGGGCTATGGACCCGCCAATGCAGCAGTGCCGTCCGTCCGTTTTTTTTACTATGGGCGGACGGCAAGAGGTTAATCCAGTAATATTTCATGTAAAACAATAATTACATTTATTTTTAAATACAGATAAGACACGTATCGAAATCTAAATAGCGCAACACAGTTGATTTTATAGTATTGAGGAAGTGTACACACTTTTGAGGTGTTTGCAGCTTGCCACCATATAACCTTGTTGTTACATCCTAGCGCATTTTTTTCTGTTCATAAAGTATCTAAATGTGATACTAGATGAGCTTCCTTTAAAATGTAAAGGTAAAACTTTAAATCTAGGCACTAAACTGTTTTGTCCCCAATAGGAAACATTTTACATCCCTTTATTTATAGAAGCACTGCAAATACTTGGTCATTCTAAGTAAATTAGATTTAGAGATTACTCACACAGTACAATGCTGTAGACTGGGTGAGGTAAATATAAAAGTTACATTTTCCACAAACCAAAACACCCTTTTTGTAAGTTCCTGGGAAACAGAAACCCATAGCCACCTCCTGGTCTGTACTAGTTCTAGTAAACTCAACCACTGAAACAAAGACCCAGAACAAGTGTGTGAGAACGAGTGGTTCCATGGGATTCTAATCTTATAGGCGTTTGCTTTATGGTGCAACCTGTACGTTGCAGAAGGGTGAGAATGTGCAGGTAATTACAGGAAGCATAAAGAAACCAGATTCTGGCAGCTGAATTTTAGTAAAAATCAGTTATTTTTTTTCTGTTTTAGCAGCTTTTACTTAAAATAGACCCAAACTCAGGCAATCTTGTCCTTTAAACTGACAGTTAAAAGTTGATTGAGCAAGATATAGCAATAATAGTGGGCATTCTGCATCTGTTCTTTTGCCTTTTACCACTGTTTCATACATTAATTGTAACTGCAAGTAATCACTGGGGAGTTCTTCCTATCCCTAGATCCTGTTCCATGATGACACTATTGGTTTAATCCAATAATGTAAAGTGGAATTGAGAGGGATTTGTCTCTGAAGATGTCAAAGTCCTGATAGGCACCTCTAACTCTACAAGGTACAAAGACATCAAGCTACTATCACATAAATACAAGAGCTTATTTGCTTCTAATTGGGAATTGTAGATACATTTTTGCTTTGTCACATTAACACAGTGTAATGAATCTCTTTTAGCCCAACTTCAGATTTTAAGTATATGTCTACTTTAAGGAATTAGTGAACTAGTGTGTCCGTAAAAAACTGAATAACTGGTAAACTACATACACTGTACAGTGAAAGCAGCAACATTTTTACTCCACTGACCAAATAGTATGAGTGAACTAGTGATTTATAGGGAGACTTTGGTTCATACCCCCCGACTGCTTTATGGTGATGGTGTTTTAATTCTGAACTTTAGAGGGGATAACATGGCCCAGAAAACATTCAAAAGTCAACTGGTATTAAGCAAACACATTTTAAAAAAAAAATGATTCTCAAACAGTCCCCTTTTCATCTCTAGATATTACATGACTAAAGTGTTTGATCTAGGCTCTGAAAATATCCTTTGATCTTCCTAATTGCTAAAATGGCTGGAAAAATAATAAGCAAATATTGAAAAGAAGACAGTCATTGAACATGAGTGTAGTGAATATTGAACTTTCCTTTGCTGGTGGTCTTCAAAGAGATAAACAAACATTTTTTATTTGAAGCTAATATATGTGTGGAAAATGATAGAGAAAAATACACCACATACATGGTCACATAGATGCAAACAGTCTCAGAACTACTGCAGGTAAAATGATGTTCAACCACACAGCAAACTGTTAGGCTTGATGGTATCCACTCTGGTATTTGATACATTGTAAAGAATGAAAGGCTTTCCATGAGGCTGGATTGTGTCCATTTATTGTGAAAGGAATTAAATGCTTTACATGCATTAATTTGAGCTTGGCAGATATCTAGCAACTCCTGCAAGGTTTTTGAGAGTCTTCCACACACACGAACATGTAAAGATGCTTCCTTTCACAACCTCGCAAGTGCAATGTGATGACTGTATTGTGCTAGTTAAACATTCATTCTACATCTTACTTCAACCAAATGAAGGCACACTCTAGCATATAGGCTGCATTGCAACAAATATAACTAAGCAAGCAATCAATAAATATTCATTAAAATAGACGATTCTTCGTGCGATGGCCATTACTTACTTGAGATCAATATTTGCCCTCAAAGCTCTAAGGACATCTAAACAAAATTGTGCAGCGGACAGTTCTACACACACTGACAAAAGGTCTATAATTATTAGATGTGTGCATCTGACAGCACAGATCTGAACATTAATTTTGATCATTAAACAAAGCAATTGGCTTAAATAACTGAAATAATAATAAAAAAAGAATTTTGAGTGTCTATGTTAAAAAACATTAGCTGCCTAAGGAAATTCTTCCAAATATAGTAAGCAAGTCAGGACACTATCTTGGGCATTTTCCTAATATGGTGAAGTAAAATGATCTAAGATCATCTCATGCTTCTATATTTGATGCTTCAAAAACCCTTACCAAGCACTGTATTTATGCAGTGTTCAGTCATTGACCAAACTCTGAAAATATACCTAAACCATTACCAACTACTTTTTAGTAAATGAGTCAGTGGAACCTTTTCCCTAAGTGTGAGGACATTATCAGATCAAATGAGCAATACCGCATTGCTTTGGATCTGTCATCTTATATAGCAATCTTGCTTTTGGGCATTTTAAATAAGCCTCGGGGACAAATACTTAGAAAGTAATAGAAGAAATCTATATCTCTACAGATAACATGCCTAAGAGGGAAAAAAACTACATCAAAGAGAACCTGCAGTCAGAAGGGAGGAAACACTTTTCATTCCTGGGGTAGTCAAGAATGTTGAGGCCTACTGGAAGAGATAAAGCCTCCGGAACAAAAGTCACAAGCTGGAAGTGAAGGTGGAATGTGTCTAACCTAAAAAAATTAAGCATCACGTATGTAGTGGTCCGCTCTACGAATTATATCCAAACTTTGGGAGATTCTTTGAATAGTTTTATGCCATCTTACTAAAAGTACAATGACCTGGCTGGCTTCTAAAGGCCTCTAATGGATATACTTTCCGCCAGCATTCTTCCATGGCACGCTCCTGGATATTTTGAGTTCTGAGCAAACACAGACACTTTAATGATCTACTTTCAATTGTTAACACTTCCTATCCCCATCCCCCTCCAACTCTTCTAACACAAAAAGATAGTCTCAACAGCATAAAGGGCAGATGTTACAAAGCAAGTTCACGTTTGTAACAGTCTAGAAATATCACCTGGCCTAAGGGTATTCTCATGTATTATCCAGTGGTACTATACCTGCTTTAGAACTAATTTGTACTCTGTGGTGTTGCAAAAGAGAAGTTACAAACTTGACTGCATAAAACAAAACCCTGATCTCACCACCTACCTGACATCTAATGTAGATGGAGAGTAATAGGTAAAAATACTCAATACATGTACATGTACTTTATGGCAAAGCACTGGCTGCCATAGCCGACTGCATGCAGTTCATCTGTGTATTATTCTTGGTTGCTGCCCCCACAACTGAAAGTGATAAACCTCTTCAAATTAGGGCTGACACATAAAGTGCTGGATGCACTGCTGCAAACAATAGTTTCACGTTACTGATGATAGATTTGCAAAATATAAAACCTGCTGATGCTATGCGTGAACCCTCCCTTGGGCAAAAAGGAGAAGTATGCAGAAAGCAGAATGTTGCACAAACATGCAATCTTGGCTCTATAGGAAGAGGAGCGTGGGGAAGCAGGAGGAAGAGGGAGATGTAACATGACATCTTAGGCACAAAATTATATTAGGTGAAAAACAGCAATCTGCCCTAGTGTGCATGTTTATGCTATGGAGGTGGAGCTGCAACCAGGTACCTCTGGCATCAGTTTATCAATTGAGAAACACAAGCAGAGCCCTCTTTACCATCTTGTCTTGAATTGTATTGTGATTGTAATGCCTTCCCTATATTGTAAAGTGCTGCGCAAACTGTTGGCGCTATATAAATCCTGTATAATAATAATAACTGCAAAATGAACTACTGCTATTTCCTCTATGACTCAGTGACCAGGGGTGCATGGCAAAATCAGCCGCTAACTTATTATACACTTCTTGTATCATGCGTAGTACCCTCAAGCAATGTTTTTCTTTAATACGCCATGGCAACCAATCAGATCTAAAAAAGGAAAGTTGATCATATGAAATTATGTAAAAACCAATAGAAAAAAAGAAAACCTTTGCATTGTATACGTTGTGTGTGTGTGGCTACATGAACAGGTTGTGTTGTGTAGCTATAAATAAGAGGAGAAGAATGCCTTAGCCTCTCTGTGTTCTCACCTGTGTACATTAGCAGGAATATCACACTGAAGATCAGCTCCAGGATCAGCACACACAAGATAATGTAGAGATAGAGGTTGTCGTCTTTAAAGAAATCCTTGGCAGAGATTATCAGAAGGATGGCCGCATTGCCTAACAGAAAGGAACACAGATAAATGGGAGATGAGTGTGCAATTAATGCTTCTGGGGAAAATACTGTACGCAGAGACAATAACTAACAGAATACCTTTTCAAAAAGAAATTGCATCTCCAAATTCACAGCTGTGCAATGTGTCAGCATTGCTATGAGTTCTATTTGCAGGGGTCTAAAACTATATTGTCTACTATATTGTGTATTTAGCGAGTGCCTACATTGAATGTTATGTTATCTGAAATGCACTTCTAATGAGACTTTCATATTTTACTTTCTCGACATTCCATATTTTCTCCGTCTCCTGTCCAGCTCTATGCCCAACAATGTACTGAGCAACCCTGCTGAACAACAAGTGCCTAGATTAAAACAATTACAGGGCAAGAAAAGGGCACTGCTTTCACATAAGCTGTCCACAAACTGTTAGGGGTTCATTTATAAAAGTTTCCCCAGCACTAGTGCCTCTAAATGGCACTGATGAGTAGAGGAATTTCCTATACTCGTCAGGGCCATCTAAGGGCGCTAGTGGCGGGAAGCTAGTGCTGTGTGCACAGCGTCTGCCCAGGTGGAACTTTTATAAATGAACCCCTGAGAACTTTGTTGAAACTGTCCATTCGGAAACATTCTTTTGATTTTTTAATGGTTAGTGAAAGTTGTAGGACGGGCTGTGCAGATTAAAAAGTTGAACAAGATAAAGAATGTGTATGATAGTCACTCCTGACAAATGCCGGCTGCCCATACACTTTTTTTTAATACTGTATAGAGCAGATCAAGATTCTGTTGGGTTTTAATTGCTGTCTGAGGCATCTCTAGGGAGATTTCCTCTCTCATCTGCTGAACTCTTCAACATAGATTAAGAGAGCAATAAAAGCTGCTGGAGATTCAGGCCTTCCCCAACTCTAAAGAAAAAAAAAAGTATATTTGTATTGCTTTTATTGTGTCCCTCTGAGATTTGTCCTCACTTCCTGTCCTATTGACATGTTGTCACTGAGAGAGGGGAAATCTCCCCAACAAGCCCAAATAGAGAAGTAAAAACTGGCACAGGTTTAAACCATTCTTCAAACTAAGGGGAAAAAAAGTTACGTTTTGCCTGGAAATATGCTTTAAGTTGTCCATACATATGCAAGTTATCCATAGAGAATGTAATGTTCAATTAGAATCTATTCCAATAAATGGCCCTATGTACTGATAAAAGAAGATGGGGTCCTACAAAGGACAGGCTCTCATATGCCACCTTTTGTGGTCCTGTATACCAAATGCCCATGGACCTGTCAGATGTGACAATCACTGTTGCAGACCAGGTAGCCCACAACAGTTTTGGACACCCCATGTATGGGCTGGATTTGGATAAAACATTAGGATCCAGATGTCCTATACACTCTATTTTCCTAAATAAACTCTTCCAGCTGTGCGGAGGTAGCCTGCATCCTCCATGGATTTGCATTGGCTGGCTTGTGTGGCTCTGCACCGCTCTCTGCCATAATAACAAGGAATTGTCATGCTAATACATGCATCAGTAAAAAACAAAAGGAGACATTTTAGGACTGCGGGTGAGATTGTTTTTCTAGGTTTTACATTTGTTAAGCCGAAAATGCATGGAAAAAAAATATACATGAAGTGTTACGTTGGTACACACTGGGCACTCTTATGGTAATCACACCACTTAATTGAAAAATGTACTTCTCAATGACCATGAGAGCTGACATCTGGAAACACATGAGATGCTAAGGCCAACTCTGGGGGGGTGGGTGATGATTACATATGTTTATAATTGATTAGGTAGTCACAAATTATATACAAAATAAATACTGCAAAGGTTTATATTGTTAGATTGCTAATGTAATAAAATTCTCCAATGCGCATAGACAATGTAAGATGTGCTTCTCCAGTCTAACACTTTTTGATCCTGTGTCATTTGAACATTTTCTGCCTTGTAGCTATGAAAAGGAAATTCTACCTCCTAAACTTTACCTTTAACTTTAACTTTTTTTTTTTTTACCAATAAGCCCTGAATGGCTAAAGTGACCGAGTCTCTTTATGGTCCAACCAATGACCCAATGATAATCACCATTGTTGCACTCATTTGCGACCCAATGATAGCTTCCAGTGCTTCCTCGTATGGTGGAGTGTGTGACCGTTTCACAAGATGTAGTGCAGAGGCCTGACCTCACCCGAACACTATGATGTAAGGGAGGAGGGTGATGTCATCAAACCTATGTATAATCCACTACCATGGAGTATGATTCCCTGTTTAGAGAGAGGAGCAGTAAGGCAGCACATGGTAAGAGTACAGTAGAATTGGTTGGGGGTGGACTTTCCTGAATGGGCAGAGTGACAGAATCTTTTTAAAGCACCATTCTACCATGCAGCACTTTTTATAGGATACAGAACCCTTAGCATCCTCTCCTCTACCAGTCTGCTCATTGAAACTAAAAGAATAGTAAACCGTTGTGACCATGTTTTATGTTACACATATATTTAGGGTGTAGCATAGCATAAAACACTTACCTGAATCACAGTGTTCTTCTCTGCACAGGCCTGTTTAGATTTGTATAAGACGTGGCTGTGCATGGCTTTAGCTGCACAGATGTGTCATCTATTCACAGGATCTAGAAAAGACTACAAGTTCCATATGCCACTTATAAATCTCAATACAGTAGAAATGTGTTGAGGTCTCTGCACTTATAGTCCACAGATTACTACCTCCAAAACCAAAGGCGTGTACCTTGGTATGGACTATGGGCTTGAGGACTAGTTTGCAGGAGCATATGCATTGCATCCACTGATTATTGTTGCCATGCTTTGCAGGCTCCATTGCAAACGATTAATAAATGCACATCAATGTCTTTTCTACACTTAGCCCGGCTTCGGGCACGTAGCAGGGCTAAATGTAGAGGGGGAGCTGTTTTTTACAAGTGATCTCGAGCAGCTGTACAGCCGCTCAAGATCACTTGTAAGTAGCCCAATTGTCACTCCCCTGCTCCCCCCTCCATGCTCCATCCCTCCCTGAACACCGCCTTTCTCCCTGCCCGTTGCATCTCCTCCCGGCTACAGGCCGTCATCGCCCACTAACTCTGTCACTGCCAGCCGCCTCTCTCCCCGCTCGCTGCCTCCCTCCCAACCATGGTTTTTGGGGTCTCGTGCTCTTCTGGGGCACCGGGGGCCATGGCAAATTACTTCAGGATTGAGAGCGGGAAGCAGAGCGGAGAATGTTCGTTCTCCGCTCTGCTCAATGTGAACACCGAGACAGGAACGCTGCACTCCCAGCCTTCCAATCTCAGTTGTCACAGGAGATTGTGCTAGAACTCCTGTATTGGAGGTGACAGGTTCCACAAAGAGAACCTGTCACCTCAGAATGCTAAACACACATGGCAATTGTTAGCTCTTGTGTGATAGCAATAAAGTTAAGTGAAAAAAATTTTAATTAAAAAAAAAGTGTAAAAAAGTAAAAAATAATAACTAAATGAAAATGTTTAAAAAGTAAAAAAGACATTTTTTTAAATGTAATAAAGTAAAGAAAATAAAAATGTAAACATAAAGATAAGATAAATAACAAGTAAAAGAAAATTAAAGTAAATAAAAAAAAATTAAAACCAACCACAATGCTCCCACCATCTGCATGGGAATAAACGCACGTGTAAGGCATTGTGTGTGTGCGCTGAGCGCTGCCCCCATTCCAATGTGTAACATATTGTGGTAGTGGGGCAGCATCGCTCTCAAAACACACACAATGAGCATTAAAGGGTAAGTTCACTTTACAAAGTAATTTGGGAAAATGGAATTACCTGCTCAAATCTGCCCCCCCAAAATCTGGCCCCCGTCTCTCCCAAACCCCCACCTCCCGGCTATACTTATCTTTCGGCGAACAGTCCTTTCCCCCGCCAGTAAGGGTGTACTATCTGTACCCCATACTGCTGCCCAGTGCTGCCCTGTGTCATGTATTCTGAATTTCCCTTGCAAATTAGCACTGTTAAATACAGTTTTGGTTAAGATCATTTTTTGCATCACAAGTGCGTAGATTCTAGTCCTTGGACAAGTAGATTTTTTTTAATTTTTATTTTCACACCCCTTTTGTGGATTGTGAGGTGGACATGCTGGCTGATTTCTCCCTTTTTCCAGTGGATTGGTCTGATACCAAACCAGTCTTGAAGCATGGACAGCTGTGAGTAGCTTGGGTGAGGACAGCCCATATTCTGCATATGGTTATAATTTCTGCAAAGTTTAGTTTCCCGTATGGTGGTAGAAAAGGCATTCTGTGACTTGGCTAGTCTTCATTTTCCAGAATGATTTCATGGTCAGGCTGTAACATTTCAGCATACTGGTGAGGTTTCTTTGGTATAAAACAGAAAACATGTATTCAACTGTGTGTTGAGCCGTTTGCCTAGAGTTCCGCTTCACAAAAAATGCCTACACAAATACAATAAAGAAGTCATATCTTAATGTTTGGACTTGCCTGAAAAAAGGTGAAAAACTGAAGCAATTGCCATCTCCTAGTAGAAAGATTGTACCAGATTGGAATCTGGGACCTCACTGACAGATAAGAAGAGTAATATAACAAAACTTCTCAATCAAAGTGCACTGAGGGTAGATACAAGTGTAAAATTCCAAAGCATCAGACATACAACTGTAAAGAAAAGCATTCCTGGCAATGAAAGCACCCACATAGGCTCCCAGTCATAATAAGAAAGCAGGATTAATTACGGACCAGCTCTGGGTTTCCTCCACAGCCTCATTTACTGCAGGACACGCTTTCCACTCAGAAATATAGGTGATAAACAAAAAGACGGAGCCACTAAATCACCAAGGAAGAACATTTTCCAGAACCCGATTCTGAAAGATTGCACCGCTCATTGTAAGTGAAATTTATACTTTTTGTTATTTGCATGTAGAAGCAATTCATCATTCATAAGAAGAAACAAATCAGTGCAACGGCAGAGGAAAAATACTGAATAGATATTACGGCATTCTGAAATGACTGGACTTGTTGAACAAGATTTTTTTT